CTCTGCACTCTCCTCAGATTGACACCCAAATACTCTGAAATGTTCGTATTAGAGCTTCCGGTGCGAAACAGTAAAGTAGGCCGTTTCCAAATATCTGACGGTGTAAATTGCATCATGGTGCTCCTTTTCTCGATGAGGGTTCCCAACTGACCCAACAATACCGTGCAGTCGACAAATTCAAATGCGCAAAATTAAAAATATAAAATGGTGACAATTTACCCATCGCACCCTATATATATATATATATATATATGTAATTAATAAAGTATGTCAGAGAAGCAGAAACTGACACTACGTCTGTCTATCTATCTATCTATCTATGCAAGAATAATTAAGGATTGAATAATAATAATATTATATAAATGTACATAATCTACTAAAATAAGTAAACTTCATATGCATATTCAAACATATATATATATAAGGGGTATAACATATAAATACCCATTTGCGAGCGCGCGCACACACTCAGCGGCGTATATATATATATATATATATATATATATATATATATATATATATATATGCAGACATGAACTCCCATATATAAATTTTTTCACGTCTGCTTTGAGATGATGCAACAGACTCCAAGGAATCTTTAATGAAGCGTTTATAAAACCAAGCAGGAATAATGGCAAAGTCCAATGATTACGCATCAGAAGATAAATACGTTTTTGTTCTGGCAATAAAACATGGCGACATTATTTTTGACATATTAAGTATCCATTTACGCATGCGCATTGTTCCGACCTAGCTGCGCGGGCAGATTTACGGTTTCGAGAAAAGAGATTTGCTGGTTGTAAAATAATCGAGGCGGATAATGTAAAAGCAGCACGAATTTTAGTTGACTAACGGAAATATACGATGTATTTAACAAATTTTCATCAAACTGGCTGAATTGAATAGAACGTATTTATTGTTACATACGAAGATAAATTGCTGTCGCCGTCTGCAAATTGTTGTTCACTCCAACCACGACGTGATTTGTGATTGTATTTGAGTTCCTGATTGATAGATATGAATTGAACGGGAAAGGGAACAGATTGAGAGAGACAAGTAAGTAGAAAGATATAAAAAATGCTAAAAAAAAAAAAAGAAATGAGAGGCAATAATGAATAGATTGGGATCGATCGATCGATCGATAGATATGAAGAGACTGAGACAGACGTGAAGTGGCTGAAATAGATAATTATAAACATAATGAACACTGAGAGACATGAATGGATTGAGATAGATCGATCGATCAAGAGATAGATAAATGTATATGAAGTGACTGAAAAATCAGAGATGAAAATACCGTGATAGCGATGTATGAAGAGACTGAAAAAGGAAGATTGCTACAATAAGACTAAGATAGATAGATAGATTGTATATTTTCTAAACCATTTCATCCCAAGCAAGAAGATAACGCAACTAAAGCGTAACGTATTTCTGAGAGTAAACGGGATAAATCATTATTGATCACAAAGAGCATAAAAAGCACAATATTGAAAGACTATTTACATTATTCGGACTATTGTCCTAATCTTTGTTGCCATATTTATCACATCGTTTCGGCCGTTGTATGCTCCGGCCTTCTTCAGGTGGTTGACCTTGAGGACACATGACACAGTGACAGGACCCAAAGAGTAGCGAGTCCAATACCTGGTTAAGTCGGTGGAGTACTTGGAGAGGGGATTTAACAGGAGATAAGTGATAACTGACATCCATTAGACATGGCACGTGGAATTAGAACAGTCTACCCCAGCGAGCGAAATAAAGGGTTCAATTCGACATTCCAAACATCTGAAGAAAGATGGAGCGTACAACGGCCGAAACGAAGTGATAAATATGGCAAGAAAAAGATGAGGACAATAGTCCGAATAATGTAAATAGTGTACATAATACCTCATCCCAGAAATATAGAGAGATACTGAAGAGTGAAAGAGGCAGAAAATTATTGACATTGCATTCAGATTTCTTAGGGTCTGAGTTTACTGGAACGCGTGAAGATGGAGATGAGTTCCACAAGTGAGAGGTATGAGAAAAGAAACGGTTAGTATAGAACGTATGATGAGACCTAGGAGCCAAACTAGTACTGCGCTTAAGTTTTTAAAGTCCAAATACCAAAGAAAAAAGTTGCCATTAAAATAGTTATAGAAATAGCACAGGGAAGGCTCGTCACGGCCCCGGGAATATGAATGAACCAGAGATGCCAGATGAAGACCACTAACACTGCAGATTCTTCTTTGGATTTTGTCAAGAATCTATAAAATACATAGAAAAAGCAGCAGACAAGATCTAACAGCAATATCCGAGTCATGGACAGCTAGTGGATCTCAAGGCCTCTGATTGGGAGATTGGAGGTTTTGAGGAGCAGGGAACCACCTCTTAATTGCTGTTGTTTTTTTGATTTTTGATAAAATAAATTACCAGCGATACGTTTTTGTTAAGGAAATTACAAATGCTCCCATGAAAAGTAAATTTCAGCATTAAATGACCCATAAAGAGTTGTTATGCCGATGAATAAACAAACAAGGCAAAAGACACACACAGAGATAGATGGATGGATATATGAATACAAATGGAAGAAGTGAAATGACAAGCAGGTATGAACTAACATTAAGTTATACAATAATATAACTGGCAGGCAAACAGATCGATAATTTCCAACTAAAGAAAATCGATATAAAATTTTAAAGAGGCAGTGATGTGATGACTGATAAGAATGCGATACATAGATATTTATATGATGTTTACATTCCAGATTTTACAAACCAACAAATGTACTTTGTTGTTACACATATATGTTGAATTTATTCGTTCCTTTTTCGGACGTTTTGCGAAGGATCAAGAATAAACTTTCGTACCATTTTTTGCTTCTTAGAAACTCTGGTCATCCGGGGAAACTGCTGTGTAACGCGAGACATCTCTTTGAGATGGAATCTCAAGTAGACAAGAATTAGCATGTTCAGCATCTTCTTCCCTTTGCTTTTAATCAAAGTCATAAAGCTGCTAAAGCCACTTGAGACATTTTTGCCGTGGTGCATTAAAAACAGAATGGCACAGAAACCATTTTCTCGTCTCCAGGAAGGGAAGTTCGAACTCACCGACACACCGCGTTCTGTACGACCTTTCTCACTTTGATGAGAACCAGTTGCACACGCTAATTAAAGAAGGACCGCGCCACAACGTAAAGGACTTGTCTCAGAAGATGGCAAGCTCTCATGTTACAGTCGCTGGTGATCTTTACTCAACAGCTAAGGTTAAGAGTGCATGGGTGCCACACGTATTGACCGAGAGAAACATAATCAAGCGCACCTCCATTGCTGCCAGTTTACTCGCTCAACATTAAGATATTTGTGGAATACAAAGAAAGAGCTCGGTTGGGAAGTTCTGCCACAGCCGCCATATTCCCCTGATTTAGTCTCTTCAGACTACCACCTGTATAGGTCGTTTCCTAACAGGGCTTTTCATTCAACAACGATGTGAAGCGTAGAAGGTAGCTTGATGAATTTTACGAGCCAAAACCTTGCAAATTCTATTGAACGGTTAGTGAATCATTGGCAGGAGGTCGTAAATAATGGAGGGGAAACATTTTTGAATGATTCATCAAAACTATTAATAAATATTAAGTATCAAAATAAATCAGAAAAATGAATGAATTTATGTAACAACCTAATATATATATATATATATATATATATATATATATATATATATATATATATATAAGGAAAAAGCCTGGGCATAGATTAATATTTGGGTAATATTCTATGGCGGCACTCTCTAGAATTTTTCTTCTGAGTGAGTTATTTCCTTTTTTATGAGTGTAGCATTTTTAAAATCAAAATTATGGTTGAATCTATTTCTATGTATGACTAGTGCATTAGCTAAGTTGTTTTTGTGAGGTCTCTTTTGTGCTCATAAATGCGTTTTTTTAAATTTCTACTTGTTTCTCCAATATATTGGGAGGGGCAGTTTTGGCAATTTATAAAAAAATATTACCAACCAACTCTGTCACGTCCACTATCCAGAATAACCTATCCCATCTAAATAATCTTAGAATACTTACAAACACTTCCCAAACCATTATGGATATACTAAGATCTTCAAACACTAATAGCAATAATATTTCTGAAGCAGGCATTTATAACAAAAACATGTTCTTTATATGTGTAATTAAAAAAACTCTTTAATTTAAAAAGACAAAACAAGCAACAACTGAGCTGTCATATATACGTAAGAAAATGGGCACCTCAACGTAGTGTAATAGTTAGAAAGCTTGTCTTGCTAGATCCATTATGACTGAGTAGTGAGTTCGATCCTCACTGGGTGCCTCAGACTTTCGGCCTTGTGCCACATCTAAGCCGAGCTTACAAAATTCCTATATACGTAAGAAAATGAATATACAAATAATATATATATGTATATGTTTTTGGAGGTGCGTGTCATAACGTAAATTTGTACCCAGTAAGAGGATTCAGAAGAGGAATCTACGCCTGCCTGTCTCAAGCTAGTCTGCGAGGGTAAAAACATCCATAACAGGTTCTCCATTGTAGTTTCAGGAGCGGAAATTCTTTGGGGAATTTCATTTTTTCTTCGTTCTTATCTATTATACCAGAACATTACCTATTCTATTGTAATAGACTCTCCCACAGATAATAAGTAGTAGTAGCAGTGGCCAGTTGAGCTCAGTGGAGTTGAGTTAGTCAGTCGATGTCGGACATTGAAGTATCAACTACCCCAACTAGATTGCTGCGTCATTAACTATTATTATTGCAAGTTCCTAACGTTTTGTACGTCGGACCCTTTTAGGACGACTTAGTGAAATACAAGCCTGCACTGTAAAACTACTTTACAATATTGTCTTACCAGTGTTTTATTTTTTAATTGTTCCGCCATCCCTGTGTGTTCCTATTTTTTGATATCTATACAATATCTTGTTCGTTTTAGAATTCATATATTCGTCACAACCCTTTGTGATTATTATACATTTGAAATTTAAAGATTATTGATTTTTAAAAAAAATCAGGAAAGATGCCAGAGAGAGAGAGAGAGTGACAGAGAGAGAGAGAGTGAGTGAGAGGGGAGAGAGAGAGAGAGAGAGAGAGGTCATCCACTACAAGTTATATGCCATTTACCCTAGCAGCGACGAGTGTGGGAAAAAAATTAGCTTCATTTGGTTGACCGAAACGTCATATAGAATGCACTAATATATCACCAATTGCAAGAGGTGCTGAACGTTGCTATATCTACAGGATTATATAGCCACATTAGCAAGAGCAACGATTTCCTCGTTAAAACAGTATACCCAAGAGAAATACACTATATGACGGATAAAATGAAAATAAATTCGACCGGTCAGTAAGTTATTTCAATATTAGGTTTTTGTAGGGTTATTTTCCCTAAAAATTCTTTTGAAGGCCACGAAAGAAAGGATTTTTCTCGTTTTCTGTAGGGTCATTTTTCCAAATATCCTTTAGAAACCTATAAAAAACAAAGCAAGTCTTTTCTCATTTTTGTAGGGTAATTTCTCCAAAGAATTCTTTAGAAACATATAAAAATAAAATATCGTTTAGAAACCTACTAAAAAGCCGCAAGGATTTCTTTTCGTTTTTGTTGCGCTACTTTTCAAGAATCCTTTAGCAAGCTATCATATTATTGCGACTGAATAGTTTACGTTATTTACATTCCGTTATTGATATTTTATGTTTTCTTTCTGCTAAAATTTCCTCACAGATTCTGTTTATTGAGAATGAAAACAGTGAAAACGACGTGTATGTGATCTTTTCTATTAACGCTGGCCAAATGAAGAGAATATCTTAATAAAATTATGTCAAGATAGATTTTATCTGTGGATAAATACATAACGACTTTGAAAAAAACGCCGATCGTTAGTTTTCTATGTAATTAGGTAATGTACAAATTTGATTTAAGGGAATGATTGAAGGATATATGAATTTATATTAGTGGAAAATGTTTATTTTTTGATCTTTTATTCATTTGTAAGAATACGCATGTATGCATTTGCAGGAAAATGAAGGTGTCTAAAAATATGTGTTTGGAGGGAGTTGGGTGTATTTGTCATGTGAATAAAGAGGCGAAGTGAAGTCTTAATAGATGGATAACGACGATATTCATTTTATCGGGAAGAGAGAATAAAGTTTAAAGAAAGTGAGGAGACGAAGTTAGAAGTAGAAGTTAAATGGGAGAGAGAGAGGGATAGAGAGGGAGAGGTGGAAGAGAGAGCGTTGTTGAGGATTAACAAATAGAGAGAAGTGAGATTATGAGAGAAAATGGGAGAGGAGTGGAAGAGAAAACGAAATAGATAGATAGATAGATAGATAGATAGATAGATAGATAGATAGATATGGAAAGAGATAGAGAGAAATGGAGATGATAATTCAAAAGAAAAAGAAGAAAAAGAAATATAAGCATAGAGAAAGATACTGCAAGAGCTAAAAAGAGCGGGAAAGAGAAAACGAGGAAAGAAATGTGAGGGAGGAAACAGAGAACAGAAAGAGAAGAAAGGGAGTGTGTACAGGAGTGTGAGGGAGAAAAGAAAGAGAATAATAAGAATGTGGTTGGGAAAATAAACAGAACAAAAGGAACGTGAGGGAGAAAAAAAAAGAAAATAAGAGTGTGAGGGAGAAAAATAGAGAAGATGGCAAGGGAATAGTAGGAGTGAGAAAAGAAAGAGAAAAGTATTAAGAAGAAGAGAGGAAAAGAGAATTTAGTAGAAAAGAATGAACAGCGTAGAAGAGAGAAATGAAAGAGAAAATACCGGGAGGAGGAATAGAGAGCCAAGACAGTATGAGGGAGAAAAGAAAGATAACACAAAGGAATTGTTGGAGGGAGTAAAGAAAGAGAAAGAGAGTGAAGGATAAACAGATCTACAACTAATCCAATTATAAATATATGTTTATTCATATTGTATTCATTTACGTTCAACACTAATACTACCTGAGGGCTTACAATGGGAGAAAAAGTAACAGCAAGTTTTCTTAATACACCAGCACTTTCCACAGTATCCTTGCTGATCTTAATAATACTGCTGTCTGAATGGTTTTTGATTCTTTCTCAGATTTCCAGTTCCTCTAGTTTTCACGTTCGTTACTAACGATTGCTTCCCACAATGCAACTACCATTCATATATTTTTACCTACTTCCTGTTTAAAGATACTTCGAGATCCAAGTATGTAACCTGTTTTACAATTTCTTTGAATTTCATTATATGCTCTGTTGGGACATTGACATCCACTATCTGACATGTTAGTTTCGTTTTATTCATGTCTTTAGATTCAGTCTTCTGGCAAGGACGAGGTATGTAGTATTATTCCGGAATAGACGTAGCACTCAATTTCACATCATACCAAGAAATCAAGGTGTGGGGTTGACTTAGGGTTACTCGTGGCCACTTATGACACAAGTGCATCCGGTTTAGCAAGCGTGGGCAAAATTTGTAATGCACGAAGTTACATAAACAACTGTCACAGAAAGGACTGAAGGCAGTCTCTCAAATATGGAAGTCAAGAATGTAAGGTCCAGCATATTTTCATTAAAACAGGTTTCGTTAAATAATTTAGACATGTTCTATCTGCTAATTGTCGATAGGATAATTTTATATTCACGGATAAACTTTTTTGGGTGGTTAGATGAGAGGAAAACACCATGTTGTTTCATATTGTATTTATTCTCCGAGTACTATCGACATAGCACAAAGTGATCATCAGGTTATTGTTAATTATAGGGTAAGTATTATAGTGTTCATGATTGTGAAAGACAAACATTTTTGTGATCATCTGAGAATTAACTTTCTCATATGTGGAGTCAGGAACTGTCATCTGTGTCATGGCGTGGCTAACAGGCACCGTTTAAGGGGAGGTAACTAGGTATGTGAAAATATTTTGAAAGTACTCGGAGAATAAATAAAATATGAACCAGTATGGTGTTTTCTCTCGTCTTTTCAATAACACACAGAAAAACTTATCTGTGAATATGAAAGGATCATATCGAGAAGTAGACAGAAGAAATTATTTAACGAAACCTGTCTTAATATATATATATATATATATATATATATATATATATATATATATATATATATATATACATTCAAAAAGTATATATATATATATATATATATATATATATATCATAAGACACCAGCAGTTGTGAAACCAAACTGCAACTTGTAATGATTTTATAACATGTATATCTTATAAATTTGAATAAATACTATATATATATATATATATATATATATATATATATATATATATATATATATATATATATATATATATATCCCATGATCTGTAGGGGCACTGCAGCCACAGTAGAAGTGGTGTTTCTTGGGCAAGATAGCCTGACGGATCTCAACCCTCTCAAGGCCTGTTTTGAATTTCTCCAAGACCGATTGCCACCCAATGCTATAGAACCCAGCCTCTCCTGCTATTTAACCATAGATGGGGACAAGAAGAGGATCCATACATTTCCAAAGGGTATTATGACGTAAGTGAATATAATGAATCCGACTGAATTGAAATCGGCTTTCCGATTCCTCAATCCGAGCCGCTATCCATTAGTCCTTGCTTCAAATATATATATATATATATATATATATATATATATATATATATATATATATATATATATATACCCGTATTGGTATTGACCTCCTTACTGAGTTTTCTCGAGTGGACTGGTCGGTAGACAAAATAAATGTTGTTTAAAATAAAACGGGGCGTCTACTCAAGTAGGGGTATCCACTAAAAACTACGTTTGAAGTAGTAAAGTATGTCGGATTAAAAAAACAAAATCCACTGGTTATTTATGAATTGCTTTTGTTTACACTTTGGAAACTGGTGAAAAAGAACCTGGCTTGATTTTGAAGCTCTTCGTAACAGAGCGATTAAAACACGCTGGTTTGTGCTGAAAAGGGTGCCGGAGGGTACATTTTATTAAAGTGCGCAGACCACCATTAGATGAGATATATGCTCTTTAATATAAAACGGAACGTCTACTAATATATATATATATATATATATATATATATATATATATATATATATATATATGTACATGTAGAGAGAGAGAGAGAGAGAGAGAGAGTGTGAGTGACATTTCATTGATAAAAGTTATCGGGAAAATAATTCTATTTCGCGAGAACTGAATCTCCATTAGTAAGGCCAAACGTGATTAGCATTAATCGAATTTTTAATTTAGTTGCATCGTTATAGAAATTAGATTTTAAGTAATGTTACATTATATTTATTTTTATGTTACTTTTTTTAAGGTTCATGTATCCCATATTGTTGAAATAATAATGTGAATCTGGTTTTCTCTCAATTCTTCTTCTTCTTCTTCTTCTTCTTCTTCTTCTTCTTCTTCTTCTTTCCTTATGGATATAGAAGATAATGGATCGTGTGGCTCTTAGGGGATTTTCTCACTTTGCTAAGGTTCCCGCCACTAGCTTCATCACCCACTCACATAAGTTCGTCAGGTAAGTGGCTCACTGCCTTCCGCCATCTCTCTTTCCCTCAATATGCCTCATGCGAGTTAATTTTTACAAGCCCTCCTTCCTCATTATGTGTCCAGCTCTCTTTTTTTTAATTCTAAGTAGAAGTGTTCTTTCTCTTGCTATTTTCTTTAAGACTTACGCGTTCCTTACTCGCTCTGTCCATGGAATTACAGTATCCTTCTGTAGAACCCCATTTCTGCTGCCTCTAGTTTTCTCCTCATTTGTGGGGAGATTGTCAGCATTCACTGACGTATAAGTGCAGTCTTTCCTTTGTAACGAAATCTTTTTCGTTTCTCGGCACCTTGCATAGATTTTGAAAGACTTCTTCCGCTATTCCTGTTAAGACGCCTGGCAGATATCTGAACTGCACCTGCCTGGCATTTGTATCCTCAGTTCTTAGCTCGCAACTTGAGCTTTTTCACTTGTTGACCGATCATCATTTCTGGATTCTAACTTAGTCAGCTGAATGTTAATTTTTTCTCGTTTTCTACTGCCATCTTGTTCTGGAGTCCCTTTTTTTCTCGAGTCGGCCATCAACACTTTCTTGCTTTAGATTACCAGTCCAAGAGAAGGACATTTTTGAATTCTAACTTCCATTGCATGCTGATATCTGTAGGAGAACTGAACACTTAGCAAACCCTATACAAATCCAGGTTGGATCTCCTAAGGCACTGGATAGGGTATTGTGTCATCTTTTGATAACTGCAGTTGTGCCGGTAAAAAACAAACAGTTTATCCTTTCCTATGGACTCTATTAACAACACAGAGGATGATACTGGCATATGATCAGCCCGAGATCTGCATTGCTTTAGCCCAGACCCGTAATGTTGTAAGCCACAGTGTTTTGACTCATGCAACCAGAAGAAACAACACGACACAACATAACGGGTTGTCTTGAATGAACTGACATGTTTTTTTAAATAGCTATTTTCTTCTATGTGCCGTCTCCCTTCAGGACGTTGGTGATCATGTCTCCCCACAATTTCCTGTCTTTTGAAGCTCTTAATAAATTTTGTCATTCTATATACTTAAGCTCGCTAGGTAGTTTATGCATTGTTTTCGGGTGTCCCTATCAACTTCAATCTGCCCTGTAAGTATCAAATTTTCCAAGCACTTTTTTCTCATAAACGTCCTAAAAATTTAAACTGCCTCTTTCTGATGTTAAGTATAAGTATCCTTTTTTTTTTTCATTTTCTCTAAAATTTGTCGTTGCTTACATGTTCGGGCCATTGGTATTCTCAGCATCCTTCTGTAGAATCACATTCCTGTTTGTTCAAGTTTGTTTTTCATCTATGAGGAGATTGTCTAGCTTTCATTCAACTGAGAGGATATTGTACAGCATTCATTACCATTCGGGAGAACCGATATTTCGTAACAGATCCTTACTCTTTTCTTTGTTTCTAGCGAAATATTCCTATCTCTTAATAATGAAACTTAGCTTTTGCGAGGTCATCTATCACTATTTCATCGCGTCTTTGGATAGCAATGTCGCAAACTCCGTCCTCTGTTAAACCACTTCCCAGATATTTAAAGTTATATTCAAGCCAAACAGTACAAGAAGACCGTTGCATAACATTTTATAGAATAATTCGTCATTTAAAAGTCGTCGTTATAATTTAATATATATATATATATATAAATATATATATTTGTGTATTTAGGTAGCAATCCTTCTTTCATGCACGTTTCATTGAATACGACAGACAAGGTTGTTTTATTTAGGTTTTTATACAATTTCTCATGCGATCTAATATTTTTTTTCTTTTCGGATGGTAAATTATATAAAAACTGTCAGAATATTCTTTTTATCCGAGCACTTTTGGCTATACATTTACCCATTTTCAAGGATTAAATAGTTTGTTGTAGATATGTTTTATAAAATGTTTTCATTTTTCAAGACACGGTCAAGATATTGTGTCCATGTTCAAAATTAATATTATTAAGTGCTGTATTTTTGTTTTTATTAATAAGGTTTCCATTATTTTTTGCATGTAGATGATAATACTATATATATATATATATATATATATATATATATATATATATATATATATATATATATATATATATATCAACTGATAGTTTATATTGTTTTATTCGGACTATTGTCCTCATTTTCGTCATTGTTATCACAACGTTTCATCCGTTGTGTTCTTCGGCCTTCATCCTAGATTTGTGAAGGAAAATCATGAACTTGGTGTCATATGAGTTCAATCCCTGAATCGAGCACTTTATTCTTGGACTCAGTAAAAACGGGCGAGCAATAACTGAACAGAACTAAAAACTAAGAACTCGATGATATCCCTAGACATATGCATTGAAACGAGTACAGTCTATCCCCAAGGGTTAAGTTCAGAATTTTCTGTAGGTTACCCAGGTCGATGTACACCTAAAGAAGGCCGGAGATTACAAAGGATGAAACGTTGTGAGAACAACAAGAAAAATGATAAATAGCGTAAATAATGTTAATTTATCATTCCAGAAATTCAGACAGAAGTCTCCACTAGCTCTGGGTAAATAGCAGAACGGACCGCGTTCTATAGCCTTGGGTGACAACTGGTCTACTGCAGAAAGAAATGGCAACCTACTACGGGAAAAAATCTGCCTCGTCAGTCATGTATCGAAAGATACATGATTGCTTAAGCGTGTATCACGCATTGCACATAACTGACTGACTGATGGGCTAATACCCTTGGGAAACGTATGAATCCTCTTCTCCCCCCATCTACGGGTAAATAGCAGGACAGACTGGGTTCTATAGCCTTGGATGGCAACTGGTCTACCGCGGAAAGAAATGTCAAACCATTGCGGGGAAAAAATCTGGCTCGTCACTCATATCCCGAAAGATACATGATCGCCTAAGCGTGTATCACACATGGCACATTAACTGACTGGTTGACGTGCTATACCCTTGGAAATATGAATCCTCTTTTTCTCTCCCCGGCTATGGGTAAATAACAGGACAGACCGGGTTCTATAGCCTTGAATGGCAACCAATCTACCGCAGAAAGAAATGTCAACCTACTGCGGGAAAAAAAATCTGGCTCGTCACTCATATATCGAAAGATACATGATCGCCTAAGCGTGTATCACCCATGGCACATAACTGACTGACTGAGATATGATAATATGGAGTGATTACAGGACATGTTTTATTATGATGATAAATAAAAAATCTCCGAGCAAAGATGAAAGGATGTTTGGCAGGTGAATTAGCAGAATTAAACAAGAAGTATTCGAAAAAAACGAAAAGCGAAAAAGAAAGGAAAAAAAAAGGGAGAGGGGGGCGGGAAAGAAAGTAAGAATAAGAAGACGTATTGACGTCATCAATTCTTAATTTGTTCAGTTTGCTTTCAACAACTGATAAACTGATTTCTAGTTTGAAGCTTTTGTTGCGAATTTCAAGACATGCCGATTGTTGTATGACAAGGCGAGTCAGTCCGACCCTAAACCTTATCAACATAAAATGCCGCCTACTTCATTTCACCTATTTCATAATTAACAATCTCCATGCCGCTTTATATCTCTTTTTCATGCTCTGTTTAGAACCCTGCTCCCCATCTATCTATCTATCTATCTATCTATCTATCTATCTATCTATCTTTCTTTCTTTCTTTCTTTCTATTTCATTGTGTTCATACCTATCTATATATCTATCTTTTTTTCAATCAATCAATCTTTCTTTCTTTCTTTCTTTCTATTTCATTGTGTTCATACATATATCTTTCATTGTGGTCATATCTATCTATCTATCTATCTATCTATCTATCTATATTTTTTTCAATCAATCAGTTTTTCTTTCTTTCTTTCTATTTCATTGTGTTCATACCTATATCTTTCAATGTGGTCATATCTATCTATCTATCTATCTATCTATCTATCTATCTATCTATCTATCTATTCCGTTTCTTCGTATAATTCCCGTCTCTTCGTATCAATATTCTCGTCTATCCGTATCAATATATCTATTTTCCTTATCTATTGCTCAACTTTTTTATACTGTAATTACGTCAATCTCTTGCAACATTAGAATCATCCAATACATTCATGTCCGTGTTTATTCTCTAATAGCTTCTTCTACAGCCTACCACGCTCTTAACCGCCACATACTTGAGGACCTCACTAAATCCATCTTCGTAACTATCTATCTATACGTAACATTACCTGTAATGTAAGTTATTTAGTTTCATAAATGAAATAATTGGAATTCAATACTCATGGGGAACTCAGAAATAATATTCTTGTATCACTAACTAGAATTGCTAAATCGTAAAAGACATGGATGACGAAAAAGAACAAAAAATGATGTGTATATACGATCTTAATTTTAATCTATTTTAATCTACGTGTAGGATTGCTTATCGTTAGTATCATTTTATGTTTATGTTCTTTTTTCTTTTTTTTTTCAATCGTCAATTCAAAAAAAAAACACTCTACAGAATAACTAATCTTGATGTATCCTTATCAGTGGCAAGGATTGCGAAGAAAAACAAAATGGCTAATCTGCGCATGTTTTCCTGATTCTATTTCATAACCACGAGCAATATTTGTGTCGCTTTATTCTCGTTCTCGCTAAATAATAATCAAAGAAAAAAAAGCATTCAGAGAAACGGAAAGTCTCCAAACTCATGTTCCTGAAAATTTATGTATGGATAGAAAGAAAAAAAAAACAGGATCGGTGAATTTTCTGAAGTTGGAGACATTAACTATGTAAATTTTTTTTTTCCATCATGCGATCAATTTCTGCAGATGGATTATATATATACACTATAGTTCAAAGTTCGAGTCCACATCTGGTAATTTTTTAAATTAATCCAAAAAGTATTTGTTTTGTACCTTAAATAAGAGAAAATTATTATACATGGTTAAAAAAGTGAGACGTGATTTTTATTAGATATTTTATTTATGACAATAAAAAAAATAAAATAAAACGATTTTATGGTTAAATTTTCCTCCTTTAGCTTTGATTACTGCGACACAAAGATTTTGGTATTCTTTGCAAAAGTTCTCAAAGTATGAGTTTGGTAATTGATTCATTTCTTTTTTCAATGATTCTAACATTTTTTCATTTTTTTCACTCTTGTCAAGTTAATCCTATGCTAATTTTGGGGTCGTTTCGAACTTTTGAACCGTAGTGCATACATATATATATATATATATATATATATATATATATATATATATATATATATATATATATATATATATATATATATATATATATATGTATGTAAAAATATATAGAAAATAGGAAAGAACTCGTTAGGTAAATAATCCAAAGTTCTTTAGTATTTTTGTTATTATTTTAAAAAAATTGTGCTCGATACAAAAGTGGAGCATAAATATAATTATTTATTTAAAAATATGATTCCAACACGCTACATAAGAGCTATGTAGTGTGTTGAATCATATTTTAAATAAATAATATATATATATATATATATATATATATATATATATGATGAAAAATATAGTTTTATTGTAAGCTATATTTATATGTAAAAGTATTCAATATCAGAGATGGAGCGTATCTAAAACAGACTGTCACCACTCGGTGTTGACCACCGTATCCACTTTAATGGCGTGTGTTCCTCAATGGTGCACACTACTAGCGGAGCGACTGTATTTACACTATAAGAGCAGCAAGAGAATTGGCGCGATCATGCTCAAACTTCGATCACGTGACCACAATATTACTGACTACAAACACGCATGAGCAGAAAGCAGCGTAACAATGTTATGGCGAAAGTCCTGATAATTTTTCTTAACCCTTATATATGCAGCCAGTGCAGTAAAGACAAAGCCTCACTAGGCTTAGTGCTTTCTCGACTGAATTCAACGGCCAGGGCGGAGGCTTCAATGACCAAGTCTTTCAGTTGGAGGACGATAGATGTACCTTGGTCTGAATGGACACCGCCAGGCCTACTTGCACAAGACACGCTGCACATGAATCGATGCCTTTCCGGCTTTCGACCCAGATAGGTGGCGAGAATTAACCAGGCGGCTGATTATGATGTTGACGGCATATTATCTCGATTCCTGATTCCCGTTGAATATTTTGAGGACCAGTTACCAGAGAAGAAAAATCATCCTATTCTAATTCTGCTTGTTCATCCCTTCGTTAGTTCATTCGTTGGTTTGCACGAACGTTACGCCCTGCCAATACCTCATAAATAATGGAGTATTTACTTTCGGAATCATCGTGTCAATGCGAATAATCCTTTCTTTAGTTGCATAGTAAGCTGTGTTCCAATAACTTGTACCGATATTAAATGTGAATTAAGTTTAAGCATCTAATGATTTTTTTTCTTTTTCTTTCAGATTTGGCGGGCATTTGGGCAATATTATTTTTCCCACATAATTGCTATGACTTAAATAACATGATCTACTAGAGAAATAAGTAAATTTTCACCAATGATACTGTTATGGGGTCCACCACTTTTTCATACAAGTGAACTCGACCAGTGTGTACTTGGACTGCTGTCGTTAAATACCCAGAGTCAGTCAGAGATTGAGATTGAGATTGTGATTGTGATTGAGTTGGAGGTCGAGTAATAGTGTGAGGTAACCGCTTGTAGAAGTCAAAGTTACAAGCACGTAGACTCTAAGGGGAAGTCCTACGTCGAGACTGAATTTTAACAGACTATATATATATATATATATATATATATATATATATATATATATATATATATATTGCTACTAACCGCGTTTCTGGATTTACTAACCGTATTACCAATTGTATTATTGTGTAAATACATTTATTAGTTATATTTCATTCCTGCGTTTGTCATTCATTGGAAACCGAATTTCATCTCGGAATCCACAACAGATACTAATTTATTTACTGCTGCCTTTGATCCGTTTTAATGAAACACCCTTATATATAACCCGTCTTAATGAAACACACTTTATATGCTTCGCCAGGGTTACATATGGATTTCAATTCAGAGTTTTCTTTCTCCTAGACCGGTTGACACCTAAGGCTAAAAATCCCAGTTTATCCTGCTATTTACCCATGGCTGGTGGGGAGAAGAGATTGTTTCATACCTTTCTTAAGGATGTTAACACGTAAGTAAATGTAATGAACTCGAGTAGAATTCGAACTCGGCTCTCCGATTCCGCATTCCGAGCCGCAATCCAATACTCTACTGAATAGAGAAATTAGGCTACAAATGCAACGTAATAGTAGTTAGTAAAGAAAGAATGGTAAAAGAAAAAAACCAAAACAACAAACGACACAATAAAAAGAAGAAAATTGAAGAAAATTTATTTAAAGTAAACTTATATGGGAATCTGACGGAGATGAAAGTCTGTAATGACTGGCAGAATTACAAAGAATAAAAGGGTCAACAAATTTTTGAAGTTTAATGTGCATTTCACTTACGTACACAGAAAAAGGCAACGCTAGATGCCTGCCATAAAATGGTAACATCCGTTGTCTTTGAGGCACATGGAATAACGGAAATTTCTAGAGATTTTCTTTATCTTATTCGATCGCAAAATTCTTTCTAAGAATAAAGCGATTTATTTTCTTATTTACAGAACTAACCTTCGAAAATTGGGTCGGCATTTGCTTCTCAGAAAAAAATGATGGAAGGAAAAATTCATTGTTAATCTTCGAAAGCGTTGGCGGAAGGCAATGATTTGAAATTGGAGGAATTCGACATTTGGTATTTGGCAATGAAGTGGTCGAAACAAACAAAATATCACCTTGCTGGTGGGGATCAATTCTCTATAGGTGGACAACAACAAAAGGAACTTTGTTTTAAACCGTAAAAACAAAAGGAAGTATTTAGACATGCATAGTAACTTGTGAAGAAACGCGCTGATATATATATATATATATATATATATATATATATATATATATATATATATATATATATATAGAGAGAGAGAGAGAGAGAGAGAGAGAACCTTGCCATAAAGAGTACGTGGGTTATAAAAGCCAGTTTGAGAGCCAATTTCTCCTGTAGTGAGTTTAACATTTACATAGTTATCGAGTAATGTGGTCAGTTGCCTTACAAATTTGGGATTTATAAATAATCCTTTACACACACATATATTATATATATATATATATATATATATATATATATATATATATATATATATATATATATATATATATATATATATATATATGTGTGTGTGTAGAGGGTGTATGTATATATATGTTTGTATAGAGAGGAGAGAGAGAGAGAGAGAAAAAGACTAATCTAACTTTTTAGTAAATGATTTCAGTCACACACGCATAAACACAAACGCTCATAGACACACACTCACACCCACACACACACACACACAAACACAAAAAAAAACTCACACATACACTCAAACGCACACGCGCACTTACACAGGTATCTGCCCGTAGAGCAATGGTTGAAATGCTAGCATGGTAGCGAATTACTACTGAATTAAGTTCGACGATGAGAGAGTGGTCCTGTAGTGTGACGTATAGGCATACAAATATAGAATTTGTGAAACCTACTTGGTGAGCTGGAGTGAATGGATGGTATGGCGTAAGTAGGTTTGGGAGAGATAGCAAAATGACGAAATTTGTTAAAAGCTAAAAAGGAAAATAAATTGTGGAGAACCATGATCGCCAACTTCCCAAAGGGACAAAGCACAGAAGAAGACGAAATTATCCCTAACACACACACGACCACCATACGTACACATACACACACACACACACACACACACACACACACACACACACATATATATATATATATATATATATATATATATATATATATATATATATATATATATATATATATATATATATATAAACAGATAAAAATTAAGTATTAATTCCAAACATGCAAATAAAATTTTTCACCTAGAACAAGATAAAATTGCGCAAATACTGTATTATATATATATGTATATTTATTAAAGACATTTTTATGTTTAACGTTCTTTTTTTATAGATAAAATATTTAAGTAAATGCTCTGTTTATAATAAACAGTATTAAATAACATTTACCGGCCTGAATGACCGAGAAATTTTCATAGAAAATATTCGTCCTTTGGCAGGATTCGAACCTGCATCCTATACGGAATCATAACTGCTCTGGCGTATCAAATGTACGAGATTCATGGAAGATTGAAGTTTATAAGCAGTAAATTCGACCTTGCCTACCGAACGCTCCTTTGTGGCCGAGTCGGTTAAGGCACGTCAGCGTAAATGACGGTTCCTTATAGGAAGCAGGTTCGAATCCTGTCAAAGGATGAGTAATTTCTATGAAAATTTCTCGGACATTCAGGCCGGTAAATGTTATTTAATACTGTTTATTATAAACAGAGCATTTACTTAAATACTTGTGCCTATAAAAAAGAACGTTAAACATAAAAATGTCTTTAATAAATAAATTGTCGGATTTTGTCCATTTCTTAATATATGTATATAAACTAAAATTTTATTTCATATATAAATACACACATACATACATTTTATATATATATATATGAAATAAAATATTAGTTTATATATATATATATATATATATATATATATATATATAGATGCGATTGGTAAATTTTCGCAATTTTATATATTTAATTTCGCGCATGCGCCATGTTTGTTTTTGATTTTCCTGACTGCATAGTATAGTAGGGTCACTTCGGCGCCATCTGTGAGAAAAAGAACATTATGACGCAACTTACTTCGTCAGTAGTTTGCAAATTTTTGGGAAATGTACTGATATACATTCGCCCCGGAAGCTCCAATACGAACATTTCAGAGTGTTTGGGTGTCAATCTAAGGACAGTGAAGAGGATTCGGAAAGAGTTGGATGAGTATAATGATGATTACAAAAGTACTGCAGCTCGAAAAACTCACACTGATTGTTCTGATAAGAAAGGAACTCCCGAATGTGTTGGTGAGGGTTTCAGACTCAACGCGGAGACCTACATCAAGTGCCTTGAGGAGGGGGTGCTCCACTGAGTTAAGTGTGTGGCTACTGGAAGACCCTATATCTTGCAAAAGGACTCTGAATGTCACACAAGCAGGAGAACCCAGTCATGGCTGTCAGACAATTTCTGCGATCACATCACCTATTACATCTAGACGCCTAACTCCCTAGACTGTAACACCCTTGATTAGTATGTCTGGGGCGCAGTTGGGCGAGAGACCAATAGAACTCCTTGTAACACCGAATATGAATTGAAGGCAATGATTATGGCATCATTGACCAACTATATATATATATATATATATGTATATATATATATAAATAAAAAGAAAGAACAGTAAGATATATAATCCAGTGTTCTTATAGATATTTTTATTTTCACAAAATAGTGCTCAATGTAAATTTACAGAGCATTATAATTATAAATAAAGTGATTTAAAATATGGTTTTTCCGCACAGTTCTAACCATGTTTCAAAAATGGAAGGTCCGAATTTAATTTTGTAATTAAATTAAAGACATTAGTTCCATGTCATCCTCAAGCGAATTTTGGAGATTTTTTGAAACATGGTTAGAACTGTGTAGTGGAAAACCATATTTTAAATCAATTTATATATATATATATATATATATATATATATATATATATATATATATATATATATATATTCAAACACACAAAACACACACACATATATATATATTTATATACATACAAACACACAGATACACACATATATATTTATATACATACAAAACACACATACACACACACACACACACACACATATATATATATATATATATATATATATATATATATATATATATATATTATTAAAGCAGAAAATAGGTGTATGTGGTGTTACGCATGTATTAACAGAATTTTTATTATATTCTTTCCTGTAAAATCAAATTTAAATTTTCCAGTGAGGGAAAATTTTCATAAATATTTAAATTTAGTACGATTCTGCAACAACATTTTTCCAATTTAATATCTTTTTTGAAAAAATAAACTGCATGAAAATTCGATTTGAAGATCTACGAGAGAAGACACATTTGATGCCATTTGTTTACAAGAACTATACGACATTCATTTTTTGAAATTTCACATCTCTCCTTTTTTTTATCCACACTATAATGAACATATTTCTAAGCGTACTTTTCAAACCTAAGTCAGAGGATACATTTTCAATTAATATTTTTGAAACTTCAAATATATATATATATATATATATATTATAATTTTTACACACGGCCAAATCAACTTACTCACTACAAAGATTCATTTTTGTTTCGATGTTGCTGAATCTTGACTGTTGAGAACTCAACATTTTTATGAACAATTCTATTTACAAGGAAGCTGCTTATGGAAAAAAAATCGTTTGTGAAAATTTTACTAAATAATTATTGCTCTACACTTGGTATTGAGCCCTCTTTTAAATTAATGCGGCTAACGTTAGAATTTATATCATTATTTTCGTTCTCATTATATATATATATATATATATATATATATATATATATATATATATATATAATAAAAGGCTTAAACACTAATATTCTTTGGTCATAATTCATATACATGTATGCACCTATGTATATATATTTATATATTTTGCATATGTATGTGCATATTTACCACTAATATTATATATCTCTCTCTTTCTCTCTCTCTATATATATATATATATATATATATATATATATATATATATATATATATATATATATATATGTGTGTGTGTGTGTGTCTATGGCTTTCCTGTAACTAATGTTCCATTTATTTGACCAAAGTGCTATTAGAAAACGCATCAGCATGCAAGTTCCCGTACAATCACCGAAGTTAAGCAACGTTGAACCTGGTCAGTACATAGATGGGCGAAAGCTGCGCAGCCCCAGGTCTTGTAAGCGTGGATATACGACTGGTGTTATGTATAATGGCTTGGAAATGTCAAAAAAAGAGATGAATTTCAATTCCAGTTCGGTTCATTATCTTCAGTTAGACCCTTGGAAAAGGCATGAATCCACCTCTCTCCAGTTATGGCTTAATTAGTAAGACTTGTATCAGTAAAGCCATTATTATCCCCCAAAAATAAAATTAAATCTGTGTACAAAATATTTAGATTTCAGTATTAAATAATCCATAGAAGTTACTATGCCGCTAAACAGACCCAACCAACCAACCAATCACTCAAGTTATTTTCTGATTCCTGTTTAGTCTGGCTAAAGGCCATTGCTGATTGAGATCTCTGCATTTGCGAGATGAGTTTGTAAACCATCTCACCACTATAAGTAATTATGAATTTTTCTAAGCTTGGCTTCGTCTGACACAAGGCTTGACATCTCCGCATTTGCGAGATGAGTTTGTTAACCATCTCACCACTATAAGTAATTATGAATTTTTCTAAGCCTGGCTTCGTCTGACACAAGGCTTGAAGTCTCCGCATTTGCGAGATGAGTTTGTTAACCATCTCACCACTATAAGTAATCATGAATTTTTCTAAGCTTGGCTTCGTCTGACACAAGGCTTGACATCTCCGCATTTGCGAAATGAGTTTGTTAACCATCTCACCACTATAAGTAATCATGGATTTTTCTAAGCTTGGCTTCGTCTGACACAAGGCTTGAAATCTCCGCATTTGCGTAATGAGTTTGTTAACCATCTCACCACTATAAGTAATCATGAATTTTTCTAAGCTTGGCTTCGTCTGACACAAGTCTGCAAATATGGAGAATCGAACCATCTGGAATAGCACTTGTCTGTGCAAATAGTTTAGCAGCCAGGAGTATATGACCATGACTACAATTTATCAATTTTTTTACTATTGTGATATTATCTTCTGCTTGTCACTGTGTTTACGTCCACTCTTTATATAAGATGTGTTAGAATAAGTTGCTAGTTCGAAATTTAAAAATCCAAGACAAAGAAGTCTGGTGCCAGTCACTAATGGCTGAAACGGTCCAGAGGAAGAAAGAAATTAGGAATGACTTTCGACGTCTGCACCGTCACTTTCATCTTCACTCGAGTTTTTGACGAAATATATATGAGCCACGGCAGCTTCCGACAGAAAAAGAAAACAAAATTGATAAAAGTTATCAAATGTGTTCAGCATTATTTCATACTGCAGCGTTCAGCGAAACTAGCAATGGAATGATTTCGGGTCGAATTAAGGCAGATATTTGAGTTTATTTCCCACTCAATGACAGAATGGAGTCCGCTATTGGATTGGCCGTAACGTTATTTTCTATAGAAGAAACCCCAAAACAATCCCCTTTGCAATACGCTTTTCTGTTTTCAAGTAGTAACAGTAGAATAAGAGAAATAGAAAGTAGAAAAGAAATTGCATATAATATTCCGTTTGTGGCAATCTATTAAAGCATAATCGAAGAGGCCACTTCTCGAAGTTATTCTCGCCGTAAATCTCGTTTGCTTGCTGTAAATATACAGGACAAGATTGCTGAAAGAAACAAAGGTTTCTTGTAGAATAATTCCTGGGTAGGGATAACATTCTTTGAGAAGATTTTGAATTTGGTTCTTATCCAGCCGTTTTGTTGGTCAACTTTGGAAATCTTTTTTTTTTTTAATACTGCGTTTCCGATTATCTTCTCAGAACAAATGTAATTACAGATATATTTACAAAAGGTATATATTATCAGCAGACTTTTACCAGTGGACCTATACTTACATTTATAGATATGTGATTTAGAAGATGATATAAGGGGTTTAGACAAAAAGTCTCCTTTCTTTGGCGATCTTTCTGTTTTTCAGTTTCTTTTCACTAAATATTTATTTTCTGAATTTCTTTTATGAATACGTTCTTTTAAGTTTTCTCTTTCGTGTATTTACTAAATCTCACTCATTCTTTCTTTATCTTTTTATCTCTTTCTATCTTTTCTTTTTCTCTCTACTACTAAATCTTTTTCTTTTTTCTTTTTATTATAACTTTTACAATATGCTTTTTACTCTCCCTCGCTTTTTCTCGATTTCTTTCTTTTTTTTTTACTGTCTCGTTCAGTCTTTCTTTCATTTACTCCGTCTTTGCCTTTAAACGTTTTTTCTTACATTTTTCCCTTCCTGTTCAACTTTGTCTCATTTAACCATATATACATATATTTCTCCTTTTCACCCCCCCATTTCTTTTATCTTTTCATCTATTTTCTATCAGTTTTATTGTCTTTCGTTTTCTCCAGAAATATAAACCAGTGCAGAATATCCCAAAGACATTAGCAGCGTCAACAGCTGTTGAATGTTTGACACTTTGGAAACGCAATTACTTATTTTCCCTTTAGGCATTTATGAGAATACTTCAGATAGATAAATATGACTAGCACACACACACACACACACACACACACACACACACACACACACACACACACACACACACACACACACACACACATATACATATTTGCATATATATATGCAATATATTTATATATGTACAAAAAAGTTTATAAGTAAATATATTATATATATATGTCTTATTATATAATATATTATAATTTTATATATAGATATCTTATAATATATATATATATATTTTTTATATATATATAATTGTATAGTGTATATATATATAATTTATAAGTTTATATATAACACAAAAGTTTATATATATTATATAAATATATATTATGAATATATATATATATGTCTTATAATTATATGTATATATAATATATATATATCTTATAAGCATATATATCTTAGAAACATATATTTTATAAGTATAAAATTATAAGTGTATATATAATTTATAAGTATATATATATAATATAATTTTATATATATTATATAGATATATATATCTTATGAATATATATATATATATATATATATATATATATATAAATATATATATATAAATATAAATGTATATATACATTGATAAAGTATATGTATATATCTTATAAATATATCTATCGTATAAATATATATATATATTTTATAATGTTTTCAACCTGTTCTTATATATAAATATATATCTCATAAGCATATATATATCTTATATGTATATATGACTTATAATTATATATATATCTCGATATCCCCATTATATATATATATATATATATATATTTTCTCCTTATATTTATATATATATAGTAAATGAGGCAGAGAGAAAAACCTGTTTGGATTAATATATTCATATTGTAAATTAGTTCCTGTGATATATATATATATATATATATATATATATATATACATACGTTTTTAAATTTTATAATATTTATTTTTAAAATTATTTTTTTTAATAAAACTGCATTCTTAGAAGATGTCATTGCATTTTGGTAGTCTTATAGTTCAATATATGGAGAAAATTCTCGTGTTTTTATTGTTCTTGTTTTCGTGAGTGTTATATTTTCAACCAATTTGCTGTATAAATATATATATAAAATGGATAAAAAAAAAATATAGTTTAAGTTTTTGTGATATATGTTTTACCACCCATAGATACTAAACCATTAGTAGTAGAATAAAAAATCAAATTGATTGTAATCAGCTGATGACTTAACCGATGAAAAACATTTAATATTTGTTTTACACGGGTAACATGAATCTTAGTTGACAAAATCTGCAGTGTTCTGTCTTTTTTGAAAGCGTTGTAAATAGCGTAGACCATTGAATTCAATGTTTTTAATCTCGATAGTGAATCCCATGACCTGTCATAACCGTAGGGTCACCATATTTACTACAGACGCAGACGTGTTTCTTTGGGCAAGATAGTCTGACGGAGTCCAACCCTCTTCGGTTTTGAATTTAGAATTACCTCCCTTAGAAGCACTGATCTCCGGTTGTCTACCCAATCGCCGTGTTTAGATTCTTATAGAACCAAGTCTATGCTGCTAAAACACAAATTTACCCATAGCGATGTTATTGACCGAAACCTTTTTTGTTAAACGGGTTTAAAGTGAAGAGGAGGAGGATTCATACCGTTCTCTAATGTAATGGATCCTTAATATGAGCCGCTATCCACTACTCCATCGTGCCTTTTGTTTATAATATACTGAATTATCAATCCATCCCTTAACTGTCAATCAGGAAAATTCCAAAACCCTTATTTGAATCTAACTTAGTAAAAACCTTTGGAATCTACGGTACAGTGAATTTAATATGTTCTTTATTTAAAATATCGAGTCTCAAATCCGTTCTTATAAAAAAAAAATTGTTTCTCCGTGTTTTAGTCTTTAAATAGGATCTTTCCAAATTATTTATGATAAATATTTACCGAATATGTTAAAACGTTCATATTTTTTAATGTTAGTGGGAATTTTCACGTTTCCATGTTTTGCTGAACTTAATATTTTATTTTCTGCGTATTGTTTTCAATAGCAGATATCGTAATTGAAAAAAATATTTATTCAATTGTACTTAATCAAAAGTGGATGTGCTTCCCATCCAGTGCCATCTAGATAAAAAAAAGATACCTTCTTGCAGGTTGTAAAAATTCCTGTTATAGTAAATTTGATATATAGTCATTTTAAAATATTTTTTCAGAAGATATTAATCGGGTATCATGAAAAACTTCCCTTTGTTTTGGGGGTTTATATACTTTTTGGTGAAATAACAATTTCTCTTGTTTTGTTTTCAACCCTTCCTTCCTTTTTTTCTTTTCTTTCCTTCTTCTTTTCCTTAATTTAAATCTTTAGTGAATTATATATCAATATATATATATAAATATATATATATATATATATATATATATATATATATATATTTATATATATAATTATCTAAAAACATTAATTCTTATTTATCATGCAAAAACATTTTCTTTTTATTCAAAAATCACCTTGAAGAAATGTTTTTGTATCTTTTCTTCTGAAGTTCTCCTTTTATCAAAGGGTATACTATTGGGTGTTTTTTCATTTTCTTTTGACTACATGCAATGAAATTTTCTTTTTCATTTTCTTTTTTGTTCTACATGGAAAGTAAAATTACGAACTTTTTGCTGGAGTAGAATAAGATATATTGGTAGGTTTAAACAGTACATATATATATAATCTTGAATCATATTATATTATATATATATATATATATATATATATATATATATATATATATATATATATATATATTTATATAGAGAATATATCGGTGTGTGGAAGAAATTGATGATCAAGTGTACAAATATGTAGCTTTTTTTTCTTCCAAAAATACAAAAAGAACAGACGTCAGGTAAATTAATCTCCTTAGGTTCTATGAATGTCCGGAACTTTTTTTTATTTTTGTTTTATTTATAAAAGCAGTGCTTCAATACAAAGTAGAGTTTTAAATTATAATTATCTTTTATTTTTTATTTTTTTTAAATTTTTATTTCATTTTATCTCGAAGGAATTATATTTTTAAAAAATAATCATATATATATATATATATATATATATATATATATATATATATATATATATACGGTGATTGAAAATGGAAGTAAATGATTCTGGCCAGCTTATTATGAGATTTGGGGTTCTGACTTAATTCCCAATTCGCAATTTTTTTTCAGAAGTAAAAGGAATTCAGTTCTTCTTCCCGTTTAAGGGTTGAAGTCTTCTACTATGCCAGACCAAAACTTTACAATAACTTGAAGGGTGAATATGAAAGAAGTTATGCCTTCCATACCAAAAGTCTTCCTGGAGAAAGGAAGGACAAGATTTCTGAACGGTTAGAGAAGTTGGTAGTAAAATCGTAGTGTTCATATAGAATTTGAAATAAAACCTCACGCTAAATGCTTTCGTTTCTCAGATCCGTTTCTCGTAAAAATTCTTTTTAATGTGTTAATAGAACAAAAATCATACGGAAAAAACAACAAATTCAAATGCTTTTGGGTTATTTTAGAAAAATCAGCTAAAACTGCATCATATCCCATATATATCGAAAATATCAATATATATCACAAAATGCCAAATATATATATATATATTAGAAAAAATAACAATTTTCTTAAAATTGATATTGGGTATTGGGAATAAGAACCTACATCTGGTCCGACAGTGCGACTCGAGGTTTCAGGGTTTTAAAAAAAGGGGGTGGTCTTTGATTCATCAGGTACTAGTTCCTTATCTTCCTTCCTTCCACATCTTTGTTCCTTAAAACTTGGTTTATTGATATTATTTCACGTTATTTTGTTTGTGAGTTCGTGTTTAATTTTAGATGAATCATGAATATTTTTAATAAATCTTTTTTTGGGCCTTGTTAAATATTTAATTGCAGGTTACATCATGTTATCCCACTTATTAAAATTCTAACATTTAAATTTAGATTCAATTTTTCACCACACTTTAAAGTTGTTCACCACCAACAAGTAATAAAAATGGGCGCTTTTCTTCTCCCAAATTGTAATGTTCGTTTAAAATCCTCCATGAATTTTCATTCCCTTTTACGGATTCTTCATTTGATTTGTAAATATACATTGTAGATGTGTTCCTAGGGTTCACCAAAATGTATATTTCATGGGAGCGTCCTTATAAAGCTTCTTCTTCCTGTCTTTGTTAAGAGATTCTTATGAGGTGGAATTTAGATTGTCCCCAGCCTTTCCCTCCCTTAATTATTTCACTAAAATGTCTGCTGGGAAGACCTAAAAGTTGACAGTTTTGCAAAGTGGCCTGCCCGAATGGCAGTTAGTGGTGTGTAACCAATTATGTTGCCCACCCACATTTCATGGGATTTGTTTTTTTTGGTGTCTTCCATAACATCATTAGCGTTACCTGGTGCATCTGTCCTGATTGGAAGTCTGGGGACTTCTGTCGGACAAAGTTCTTAATGTCTGGGCTGGTACTTAGAATTGAATTTTTATTCCATTTCAGCTATCCAGCTCCGACTTCTGGTGTCTGAAAACCAGGTATTTTTATCGCTGCCAATATGTTGTGTTCGCTTTTAGGTCGTTCCAAGAGAACACCTACTATGACTGGGTTACTTTTAGGATTCTTTTGTTTCAATTTCACAGTTTTTTTTTTCCATTTCGATATCCAAATTTACACTTCGAGATAGATTTTCGAGGAAATTCCTGAACCTTCCCACTTGATTCAAAGAGCAACAATCGGGAAAATA